CAGAAGGCCAAGGCCACCACCACCAAGGCTGCTGCTCCCAAGAAGGCTGTCGGCCGCCCGAAGAAGTCCACTGCCACAGCTGCTGCTACCAAGGCTGCCCCTGCCGCTAAGCCCAAGGCCAACGCCAGCAAACCCCGCAAGACTGCCCCCACTGCAGCCCCCGCTGTCGAGGAGGAGGTATCGCGCGTGCTCGGAAAGACCAAGTCTGGTCGCGTCACCAAGACCAAGGCTCCCGCCGCCGCAACCAAGGCAACAAAGAAGGCACCAGCAGCAAAAAAGACCGCCGCAGCGAAGAAGGCCACCACACCCAAGAAGAAGGCGACGCCCAAGAAGGCAACACCAAAGGCCAAGGCATGAGCTGTTCCAGTTTAAGCTTGTTTGTTCTTGTTGACCTTTTTTATTTTACCATGCTACCGTCCGTTAGCTTCGGAGCGTACGCTAGACGACATCTTCTTCACGTATTCCCTTTGTCACACTACTAGTCTATGGGTTTTACAGGTGGGCGTGGTTCGGCCACCGGCGGATATGGCAAGGCAGGCCTACGGTGTTCGTCCCTGATTTTCTTACCTGGGATATATCATGTTGGCCGGGCGTTCTGGCGCGTGTCTGTCACTGCGGATGGATGTCTACTCTACTGTCATTGTTCTCTTCAGCGTCGCAATCTGGCGTTATGGGAGGCTAGCTACGACGTGATGCTATCGTCTCAAGCAGTTCAAATCAACACATACTTCAAACGTTACGCGTCTCTGAACTCGGTGAATGTGACGCGTTGTTTTGATCTGACGCGTGAATGTTGCGAGTCATGTGAGGGGCATGTGGGTCTCTGATAAGATAACCGGCTCAGCCCGATCTTCTCATGCTTTCCGGGTGCCGGCTACCGGGCGAATTCTACAGGAACGCCGACCTGCGACTTCCTGCGCCGCCCCAAAAGAGCTCCGGTCGTGTCTCGCACGTATCCGAAGGAGCCGGCGATATTACTATGAGCATTTGAAAAGAGGAAACGAGCGACTTCGCACACTTTTGCCACCTTCACTGGGCCAGCTCTCAAGAGGAATGGACACGCGTGTTGTCCCAGCTACTCACATGAACCCATCACTGCCATTACACTCTATTGAAAGAGTGCATGTGTATACCCCTTCTCTATCGTTCAATTTGGTAACACATCTCGCCGCACATTTCCTTACAACGGGATGAACGCGGTTTCCAGGGTTGTGCCTTCCACGTGCGAGAAACCGAGAGAGCCCGTTACGCCTGCCACTGCGAGCGATCTGGCGTTGGAATTGGCGGAGACGAAGATGCTGTCGCATGATAGCGTAATGGAGGTATCGACCGGTCATAACGAAATACCTGTTGTCTTGTACATGCGAGGTGCACCTTGTAAACTTCTAGCGACACCTGGTGGGAGCTGACGATGATAGTCTCAGATATCGATGGAATATTACAAAGTATGTACACTTTGAAGCGTGTAACGCGCCACTCAAGCTGCAGTATTCCATAGCCTTGTAGACACGCAGTCGATGCTGGGTCCGCGGGAATGAGTTGCTCGTTGTCATCTGTCGCACCTTCCTGCTCACTCTCACCTTCAATCTAGCGTCGCGCACAGGCTATAAACATCACTGAATCCTTCCGCCTGGACTTCGACGTCTTACTTCCAAGCTAAAAATCACCAGCTGGAGTGGTCCGTCCCGCCATGCCGAGCCCGAAGACTGCCCAAGGCAGCAAGTCAAGCACCATGAGGTAAGCTGACAATAACAAAGCATTCTGCAAGCAATTGCGAAACTAACATTATACTCGTAGCTTCAAGTCTACCTCAGCAGTCACTATACGCGTAGGGAAGGATCCGAACACAGAGGACTTCATCGCGCACGAAAGCTTCCTCACTTCCCGTTCAGAGTTCTTCCGCCGCGCCATGAATGGCAACTGGCAGGAGGCAGACACAAGGACTATAAACTTCCCCGACGATGACCCCGGCATTTTCGCCCTCTATCTCAACCACCTCTATACTGGACAGCTGCCTATTACAACCAAAACCAAGGAAGAACTGAAGATACTCACACCAACCGACTTCACAATACTTGTTACAGAACAATACCACGCTGTTTTCAGCGTTTTTGTTCTTGGTGAGAAACTTCAAGACCTTTCGACCAAGAATGCCATGATGGAAGCTGCACTAGCCACCACCAAATTGCAAGGACCAGCCGGGAGATGGCAAACGCCGACTGCGCGAACAGCCAACATGGTGTACAATGGCACACCAGCAAGCAGTCTCGCCAGATCTTTTCTCACCGACACATGGACAGCGTTACCCATCGACAATATCCTCGTGAAGTTCAACCAGCTCCACACAGATATGAGGAGTGACCTTGGAAAATCACTAAGAGACCGTTACAATATTCTTTTACAAACCATAGGAAACATTGCAGAGAAGAAGGGAATTGCTGCGTACCAGGAGAAGCCGAAGTGAGACTGGACCACCGTATCATTGTCTACAAAGGGCAGAATTCTGAACAGGTAGCTCGAATGTATACGTAAAGAACACGATTATTTGGGACAGTCACTGAGGGGAAAATATCTGTTAATCCTGAGGATCTGGTAAAGGTCACACTTGGCAGAGTGCAATTTCCAAACACCCTGACTCCAAATAGTGTGCTGCAATCATGCGTAAAACAACACATACAAACTTTTACAACATAAGCATTTCAATAGAAACTGTTCATTATACCTACTGTTTTTTTAATGCAGTTGCGGTTTCACTCGAGCGTACGAAACCACAATAGCACATGAAAACGATGGGAGGAGCAAACTACTAGATCGTGGTGAAAATTCTGAAGCTTCACACAAAAGAGTTCGTCGAACACAGCGCTTGGCACAGATACCGAACCAGGATGGCTCTTGTTCTGTGATGTCTCTCGAAGTGGTGCATACAGCACCTACAGCGCGGTTTACTCAACACTTTTCTGGGCGCATAAGGCCTCGCTAGGTGAACTGCCTTCGAAGTTCATCACCAAGCTTTCCATAACTATCAATGAATTGCTGCCGTTACGATTTCCAAAAAAAATGTTACCGCGTACATTAAGTCTTTTAAGGCCTGTTGGCTTTGTACATAGAAGCAGTAGAGTGGAATCGAAGTACGCCCGGCTGAATCAACTGGGCAGGCACACCACGCTAGTCGCCGCTAGGAATAGTTGCGCGCGGGAGCTGCTCGGCCTTTGACTGAAGTGCCCGCGGAGGCAGAAAAGCGGTTCAAGGATACCTGCTTCCGGCTACATTTCTATGAGAAGCACATCCACGTGCACAGCCCGCATGCACGTCGTCCTTCGCAACTCGACCTGCACATAGTCCATGCACACCACCTGTCCGGCACAGCGCGCCGTTGTCGAGAAGCTCTTCCGCCGTTGCTTCTTGTTGGACCGTTGCCTACCAGTCTCCACTCCGATGCGCCCAACTTTCAGGTCGTCTCTGGTCATGGAATAGACGTAAAGCGTTTGATGATGCTAGTGGCTCGCGGGACGATTGGTGACATCCGTTGTTGGGTGATACCAGGAGGCGTCGCAAAGTAGCATCGCTTCACGGGATCCGTGAACGCCTTCGAGAGGGGTGCCACTGCGATGTTATTTAGGAAGGTATCCGACAGCACGCCTGAGGGATACCAGCCGTTCTTTGCTTATTCGCTCATTTCCTATCCGGTCTATACAGTCTGTGGCTGCTTACCTGCGACAGGGTTCTCCAGATCCGCCGCACGGGTGTGGCTAGCAAATAGGTAATGTGACAACAGAGCGAGACGCGCCACCAGTATCTCTGATTATCCCAATCTCCTGGATAAACACACTTGGGGAGTGAGCGTGATCCTTCAGTTGCCTTTGATGTTCCGAGAGCTGACCTATGGGCGGCAAGACAGGCATACGATATGTACGAGGCACACCAACTTTCGGGCCCGTCCTCTTCATTGGTGACTTTCGAATCGTTACCATTCCTTCGTCTACGCGAACGAATCAACATGCTCATGCATATGCTCGAGGAGGTTCTCGACCCATCCCAAGGGGTGACCGTTGAAGCGGGACACGTCTGCTACGCCCGGATACTTACCAAAACGTCTCTGATGGACATTAACATGCACGAAGTCGCGTAAGCGAGATACTGTAGATCGCCGTCTGTTGGACAAAGAATAAAGAGACGATCAGGTGTCGACGGGCAATGGCTTCGCCGACAAACCACAGCCATCACAAGGACAAGTTGATTCGATGTACACAATCGTGCATTGCTGGTACTGTTTGTGGAGATCAACAGGGTGTATAGGGCACCAAACATTACCCCAGATCGATGGGACGATGAGAGCTCTTGGCCGAAGAGACGTCCACTAGTGTACATTCACATGCATTTCGCACCCTGTTCCTTCCCCATGTAAGTGATAGCCAGCGCCTACCGGGATGAATATGCAGGGCTTGACCGCCAAGACAGGCTTCACAGCAAGCTTGAGTGAGCTTGGCCCCCAGGTTTTGGCGCCTCTACCAGGCGATCTATATCCCGGGTCAACTGCTGTACTGCCTGAACTAGCGACATATCCGGTCGTCTACATCGGATCGATAGTTGTCTAGAGCTTAAGCGCAGCTGTCTTTACGGAAATTCTGCAATAGCGTGGCTTGATCGATGACAGGTCACACGGTCGCATGCCAACAGTACATGAGGACATACGCATCCTCACTAGCCGTTCGCAGACACAAACAGACCATGAAGAATGGGACCAATCCTTCCAGAAGTGTTAAGTGCGGAGTAGTCACCTGGTCAGGCCTAGTGTAAGAAATTGCAATGCTACCATAGAAAGCCACACACGCACCGCACTGCAGCATCACCGCTGCTCAGGATGCGATGTTAAAAGCCGGGGTATCCCACTGTTGATTGCGCCCCACATAATTCTCCAGCTTCTGCTTCCTCATCGCTACGCAAAGAGCCTTTCATCATAACTACCTCTTGTTCAAGTAATCTTGGAGTAAATAGCGACAATGCCAGGAGGTGGTGTTGCCCTCACTGGGACGCATGACCTCAACCGGGTCGAGGCTCCTGTCACCGTCCGAGCCTATCTGATCGTCGCATTCGCTGCGTTTGGAGGTATATTTTTTGGATATGACACTGGCTGGATGGGTGGTGTCCTCAATATGGACTACTTCATAAAGCAATACACTGGAGCTGAATACCCCGACGTCGTATATCCCGGCCTTGACTCCACCAGCCAGACCATCAAAGACTATCGCAACTCTACATTCGTGGTCTTACCATGGCAGCAATCACTCGTCACATCCATCCTCTCTGCCGGGTATGTGAGAAAAGACCAATAGTGTTATCAGTGAATGCTAACAGAACACAGTACCTTCTTCGGCGCCATCATGGCTGGTGATATTGCTGACTTTATCGGACGTCGTTTCACAATCATCATGGGATGTGGTATCTTCATTGTCGGAGGTATCCTCGAGACAGCCTCTACTGGACTTGGTGTCATGGTTGCTGGTCGACTTATCGCCGGTTTCGGTGTGGGTTTCATCTCGTCCATTGTCATTCTCTACATGTCTGAGATCGCACCCAAGAAGGTCCGCGGTGCTGTAGTCGCTGGTAAGTACTATCCACACGATTTGCATGCGATACATTCTGACTTTTATAGGCTATCAGTTCTGCATTACCATCGGTATTTTACTCGCCAACTGCGTTGTATATGCCACTCAGAACAGACGCGACACTGGCTCCTATCGAATTCCGATCGCCGTTCAGTTCCTGTGGGCTATAATTCTGGCTATCGGTCTCGCTCTCCTCCCAGAGTCACCTCGTTACTGGGTCAAGAAGGGCAAGCTTGATAAAGCTGCTGCCGCCCTCGGCCGTGTTCGTGGTCAACCTCTTGACTCCGAATATATACAGGATGAACTCGCCGAGATTCTTGCTAACCACGAATATGAGATGTCCGTTGTTCCCCAGGGCAGCTATCTCGGCTCATGGATGGCTTGCTTCAAGGGAAAGCTCTCTCAGCCCTCATCCAACGCCCGTCGCACTACGATTGGCATCTTCATGCAGGCTATGCAGCAGCTAACTGGCATCAACTTCATCTTCTACTTCGGTCCAGTCTTCTTCCAGCAGCTCGGCTCCATCAGCAACCCCTTCCTCATCTCTCTCGTCACAACTCTTGTCAACGTGCTGTCCACCCCGGCCTCGTTCGTCATGGTTGAGAAGATTGGAAGACGCCCTCTTCTCGTCTTTGGAGCTGCTGGCATGGTTATCATGCAGTTCATCGTCGGAGCTATCGGAGCCACCGCTGGCAGAAACACTGCCGACCATCCTGCCAACCCGAATGCTACCAGAGCCATGATCGCATTCATCTGCTTGAACATCTCCGTCTTCGCTACAACCTGGGGACCGTGTGCCTGGATTGTGATCGGCGAGATCTTTCCTTTGACTATTCGATCTCGTGGCGTCGGTCTGTCCACGGCTAGCAACTGGTTCTGGAACTGCATCATCGGTATCATCACGCCTTATCTTGTTGCTGACCGCGACGACTCCGCTCGTATGGGATCAAATGTCTTCTTCTTGTGGGGCTCGCTCTGCTGCGTTTCATGTAAGTTTTCCATATTCCTTACAGCCACATCGAGCATTTTGCTAATCCATAAGCAGTCTTTTTCGCCTACTTCTTTGTTCCTGAAACTAAAGGTCTTACGCTCGAGCAAGTCGACAAAATGTTGGAGGAGAGCACCCCTCGCACCTCCCGCAATTGGAAGCCCCACAGCACCTTCGCCGGTGACATGAACCTCGCTGATAAGCATATCGAGATTCCCCTCGAGAACCTCACTACTAAGCACGAGACCTCTACAGTCTAGTTGTCTGGTTAAAACGATGTGTAAGAAGGGAATACTCAATGTATGGAACTGCCGATGTCACTAGATGTTATTGCAACGCATAGACCTGCTGCCTCGCACTCAATGCTGTGGAGTTATATATATAGTGGAATAGCATACCTGAACCTTTGTCACTGGATTTCAATCCGCGTTCCACGTTGTGATCGTGGGAAAGCGTACGCGGGACTCAATCCAGAGTGCACGTTAAGGGAGCTGCTTCATCACCTGATTTCTCCAGCTCTGTGCGTGCTTCCTGCAGTCTGGGAATTTGAATTGAACCAAGAGCTGTGACTACTACGTGGCGCGTTAAGCGTCCGCTTGCACAATGACCTAAAACCATTGCCGTCTTCTGTTCTCCTCGGCTCTAGATAGGGACCCCGGTGTTCGCTATGTAGCATGAGGCTAACGGGCTGACAGCGTAGGCGCACGCGTTCTTACGTTCGATTAGCCGGCGCGGTGTTTGCGGCATCGTTTGGGTAGGTGGTACGAGGTTGATGGGTCGCATGCTGTATTGGGGAAATGGGTCGCATGACGAGTCTGACCTGAGGTTTGGAGGACTGTTAGTGTAGCGGAATCTTAGGCCGATGAGGTGGGCTGATGGTCAGTGTCAGTCGAGGTCGCATTTGCGCGTTTGTTGAGAGATGGGACGGTTGCATGGTTGGATCCTTCGTTGGGCTTGCCTCTGCCAGGCGCGCTGTGGCGGAGCTCGCTCTTGCCTGGTGGTGTAGCATCTGTGCGCAGCTTGGTGGGGGCTTCAGGCTCACCAAGCGCGAGCATCTTCTTCAACTTCCATGCCTTGCCTTTTCAACATTGTTCTGGATGCTCCGGTCAATTCGCCCTGATCCTTGGAATTGCGCGAAGAAGTCAAGGCTGCTGCCTGTGATGGAACGTGCCGCATGCCCAACGAACAATTGCTCTGTGGACAGCCTTGCGGGATGTGGGAGGCTGCAGGTGATGGCGTCGCTGCCCGTCAAGCTTGCCTCTATACGTCCATGTTCAGCTCAGCCTCAGGCAGGGGCTATCCCTAGTCTCCAGGTTGCCAGCCACATCGTCGACTGCATTGCCATCAGAGTGATTTTCACTTCCTTCCACCCTCCCAGTCATCTAGCAATTTCCAATGAAGCTTGATTCTGACAAGACATTTGGCGAACTATACCCTAGTATCGAAGCTCTCCAAACAGCCTTGACAGAGCTCGAGACAAAATACAAGGAAACCGTTTCTGATACGCAGATTCCTCTTCGATTTCTCACTCTGCGCGACAGCCCGTCGCCCGGGCCTCCGGGAAACACAGTCAGTCATCTCGCTTTACACACTGCGCGTAAGACAAATGCTGATTTTGTACACCTGTATTCAGGTCCATCTACGTCTTACTCAGAGAGCGGAATACGATACCGATTGGGAATATGTTGCTGTGTCATACACTTGGGCACAGCCTGAGGGACTTGCCGCCCAGTTCAATACGCCGAAGTTCATGATCTGGATCAGCGACACGGAAGCCCGCCCGCCACGTTGCCCTCCATCTGTCCTTCACCGGGCACTGCAATACGATACCCATCAAACCAAGACTGGTCGCCTCTGGATTGACCAAGAGTGTATCGACCAAGACGATGCAATAGATCGCGATGAACATATCGCGCATATGCATAGAATTTATGAGCGGTCCAAATGCACCGCTATCGTTCTGTCGCAAAGTATAAGCCCGAGCCAAGCGACCTTGTTGCAGCGCTGCATTGAGGCCCATGGAAAGGACACAGTGGACGGAACTCTGAACAATGAAATTGAAGAGGAAGACTGTGTTGATCCTAAGGTCACCGGTGCTGCGACAGGTCTTATATCGCTCAACTGGCTTGGTAACTGGTACTGGAGCAACAATCTGGAAAACATACTCGGAGAAGACGGCCGAGGAAAAAGCGCTATTGATTCTCCGCTACACATGATCTTCAAGAGACTAGTTGAAGATCCATACTTTACACGTGCCTGGACATATCAAGAGCAGCGTTGTTCTAAGACTTCGTGCTATCTGATCCCTATACTACTAGATCCGTCATCTGATGAGATTACTACTGGACGAGAGCGAACGAGTATCTTCATGCCAAGTTCTCTGCCTCAGAGTATTGATAGATGGTGTTGGAGGCGTTTGAACGATCTGGAACTTTCTCGGTTGTTAACCAACAATTTCCGTTCTCATGACCGCGATGCGCGTTGCCCCGGTGTGACTATCCTCAAGCAAAGAAGTTCGAGCCCCAGGGAAACAGTCAGGGACAGAGATTACGTGATTACGGAAACTGTCAGGGGCATGAACACGCGAAATTGCAAGTACGTGTCTGATCGCGTAACGATGGTGGCGAATATATGCGAGTTCGGCATGACCCTTCGCACAACCCAGTTCCAGGACGATGAAGCAGTGAGCTACAGTACGTGTGTTTTGGCACTTCTTGTCATGAATGGAGTATTAAATAGGCCATGGGCAGCTATCATGGAAATGAAAATTGATGTTGCGCTCCTCACTTTTTGAGCTACATAGATGCTTCCATAGGAGACCTGAATGACAATACCCACGAGGATAACCTACCAACGCATTCTCTTTCTGAATATGCACCCCCACCAATGACTTCTCGCTCTTAAATGGGTCTAAAAGCAGCAGACTTGCCTTTTGCATCTATCAAGTTTCTTCTAGAACAGTCCAAGCCCAACGCATGTTTAAGAGTATGGTATCAATAGTTCGTCATCTATACAATCTCTACTCCACGTACAACATATCCAAGGGCTTCAAACGAGTTCAACTGGCTTTATGTCCCCCACTAGCCGTCTGCGCCCTGAGAAACGCTTCAACGTCCTTGGCACTTGTCGCGTCGATCTGACGATCCATCTCTTGTTCCTGTGGACTCTTTGTCCTCACAGGCTCTTCAACCTTGTTTTCTTCCCCCTTGTTTCCACCAACCACACCGGCAACGGCTTCAGCGGCAGAAGTAGCAGTCGAGGTGACTACAGCGGAGGCTGATACAGCGGCTTGTTTAGCTTGGTCCAAATAGCCCGGGGCGGCGGGTTCTTCACGATCGGGGAGCGGTACCTCTTTCGGTGCTTGACCCACCGTGTTGGGCTCCATTGTGACTGTCTTGTCTCCATGCCCATGGTCAACGATTGCTGCCTCGGGCGTTCCGTCTGCGAGCTGCCCGGATGCGTGTGTTTGGTTCTGTTGCTCGTATCGTGCTTCTGATGTGCCCGCGCGAATCGGTAGGGTCGTAGTAATCGGTACCGCGGTCGTGGACGGGCGCGACTCGGTGTCTGAGGGTGGGGTGTCGATTTCCGGCTCGTTCGTATCAGGAGGGTGCGTAGCTGTGCCTACGGTTGTGAGAGGGTCGCCGATCTGAGTCGCAGGTGTGGGCGGCATCAGATCTCCCTGCTTGTATCCTACAGGCTTGGGAATGGAGAAGATTAGTTTTCTTCGCGGTGTTCCGCTTTCGCTGCCAACGCCCCAGGCTTCCATTTCGCCATTCTGGCCTTCCTCCCACTTTATCGGCCCAATAGGGAACGTCTTGCGGCCGCCCTGGGTATTTGGGTTCTCCCACTTCATTTGCGCCTCGATGGCTGGCTCAAGATTCGGCAGCTGTCCCCACTCGAAATCGAGACCGCCACCGTATTTCTTCGGGATGTTGTCGTGGTCGATATATTGAGAGAGTGTGGAGTAGACGTTCTGCGGGGAGAGGATGAAGATCTTGGATACGGTGATGGGATCAAACCAGCGCTTGACCCAGCCCCAGACGGTGGGAAAGAAGCCAGGCGCTCCGACGATCTGCGATTTGGTCAGTTCTACTTGCGTGGCTCTCAAGAAGACGCGTGCACATACGAATATCCTATCCAGGGTCTCAGGGTAATGTGCTGTGGCCAGGACCGAAGCATCTTGCATGTGGCCCTTCAGGTTCCAGAACTGCTTCAGCCCAACACCACTGATGTCCACGATGTTGTTGCTTTGCGAGATTGGCGTTTCCGGGTGGCTGCGAGGGACCATGGAACACAGAGGTGTGTAGAATCTGGTGAGCGACTCATACAGGGCGAATAGGCGCAGGTTCTTGGTCGCGACATTGGGGATAGTCGTCTTTGACTTGGCGAGTTGCTTCTCGTACGTGGAGATGTTCTTCGAGTTCAACGGTGCGACCTCGAAAAGGAAGAGAGGAATGCCGCGTTTGTCGCGTCGGCCGAGCCATTGCGGGTACTACGTGAGGCTGTCAGACAGGATGACAGCACATGTATGCGGGACTCTCTACCAAGCGGCGCGTTTGCTCATACTCTTCGACCTCGATGGTGTTGAAGATTTCGCTTAGTTTGTTCTCCTTCCGCCAGTCTTCCGTGTCTTTGAATTGCTTAAAGGCTTCTTGGGGAACAAAACGACGCGCGCGCAGATAGCGCCTGTAAGCAGTCAGTGCCCCGCTAAAATCGACAACTTCGCGATTTGCGCGTACAGCATGGTCTCGTCGTCATGACTGGCTCGCACCGGCCCGGCTGCAGGTGTGTAATAGCCTGCTTCCTGGCACACTTTCTTGAACTCGAGAAGCTGGGCTTCTTGGTTCTCGGTGAGATGGGAGAGATGTCCCGCAGGATACTGCATCGACTCTACTCTGCTGAGGTCGGCCATGGCGGGATACGATAGGAATGTAGGAGCGTAGGATTACAAGGCCAAAAGGAAAGATAAAAAGTGGTGAGCCAGACCGTTCAGTTTTAGGGCGTCATGTTTATGGTAATGAATGCGGCGGTGCGGCAGTGACATCAACTGTGGCTGCAGATCGGGTCTCGCGGACAGCGAGCTTCGGCAACGGTTGCGCGCTATCCGGACCAAACGTGGAAAAACCATATGAGGGTCTTGCTTGTTCACGGACATAACTGACTGTTGCGCTCGAGTCGTGTCTACCGCATTGACCACGATGAGTCCAGAGTTGCTTCGAGTGCCTCGTCATTCATTTCCGCTGCAAGCCGGAGCTTCGCCAAGAAATTCGTGCTGACAATGATGGCCGAACTTGCAGATATGCTGACAGCATCAAGGAAGGAAAGCCGGGCGGTACGGGTTTAGGCTTTGGCGAATAATCAAGTAATTGTCTCTTAGGTGTACTTCCAAAAGCGACCAACATGTTTATCATAGCGCGATCAATCTTTCTCGGCGACTGGCCAAGTGGGCAGCGTGACAGGGCTTCGCTCTATCAAGAGTGCTGTGTAGCTCTCCAGCCTGTTGATATAGCCTGAGTAGAAAAGCGCTCCACTGAGTAGGCTCTGCATCCATGAGTAAGACGTCTCTAACTAGGTCGAGACACAAGGCATAGATTTAGCTCAGTCTCATCCTTGTCGTGACGGGATCGTATATCTGGACCCGCGATACGACGGGGAGAACGCCTGTTGACTGAAGGTGCGTTATCGCGATTTAGCTGCCGAGGCTAGTCAATATTAGCGAGCCATGCCATCATGACCGCCCATGTTCCAATGTTGACGACATCTGCGGCGGAACCTTCAAGCACGCCCTTCACTCGCCACACGGAACCTCCATTTACCCATGCACTCTGCACTTCTCTCCACGACCCTGTCACCTCCCGAAAGCGCCGAACGACCCCACCCATACACCACCTGAACGCCGGGCCCACCATGCCACGCCCCTCCTTCACTGACTTGCCGACCGAGATCCTCGAAGCCGTCTTCCTAAATCTCGACCCGCGCTCCCTTGCATCCGTTTCGCAGACGAACAAGCTCATCAAGGAGCTCACGACCGATGCGCCTATAATATGGCGCCACCTGTGCAAGACGCAATTCAAGACATGGGACGCTCGCCACAACATTATCGCCAAGTTTGCAGCCCCGTTGTCCGATGTCGACTGGCGCGCCCTCTACATGACCAAGCACACAATCGAGCGTCGCACCAAAGAGCTCTTGAACCGCATTGTGAATCGCCAGCAAGGGCGCATAAGATGTATCAACGACATCGCCGAGTTTGGGTACGATGCGAAGGAAACGCTATTGAAGGAATGCGCATGCCCCGATGATGCGCACGATGTTCTAGCGAGGCGATACTACGCCAATGCCGTACTAGAGCGCATACATCGCGAGGTCGCCATCAAGGTGTGGTCGGATCTACATGACGGCAAGGACATATCGATAGAGAGAGCTCTGGGCGCATACGATGTGTTTGCGAGAGTGGGCGAAGATGTAGACATTGACGTGGTAGCTGAAGACATCACTGCACTAGCCAACAGGCTACTGGAAACATATCCCGACTTGCGCAGCTGGAGTCCACGAACACAGGCCTCGACTTTGGCGTCCTTCCTCCGTGACGAAGGCTTCAACGGTGTACCAGACACGTCGTATCGCGCACTTCGGAATTCCTTCATTGGCCTTGTCATACGTTCGGCGACGCACGAGTCTCTTCCACTCATCTCAGTCGCCATCTATTGCGCCGTAGCACAGCGGATTGGCCTTGATGCACGACCCTGTGGGTTCCTTTTCCACGTCTATACTCTCGTCTATGCGCCCAAGAACTACAACCTCGATGGCCAGTACAAGCCAACGAGTTCAGCGCAGCTGGATTACATGTACCTGGATCCGTTTCGCTCTTCCTCAGAAGTACGACAAGGCGATTTACAGAGGATCCTACGCGATATGGGTGTTCCAAGGGACGAACACCATGGCTTTCTGAGCGACACCAACACCCGAGAGATGGTGATGCGCACCGCGCGCAACATCATGAACTCGGTACAAACGATCCGCGAAACTGAAGCTGGAATGGGCAGCATCCAGGCGTCATGGATGAACTCATACCCAGACATGGACAACGCGTTCTACGCAACCATCTGGGCCATGCTCCTCCTTGGGCCCAACGACGATCATATTTCATCTGGACATAATCAGATCCGTCGTCGCCAATACCTGCCGTACCTGCTTGAGCATTTTCAGATGCACTACCCATGGGACGTGACGTTGCTATCACGCTACGTCATCCCCATGTTCTACAACCAACCTGAGGGCCGTCGCCTGCTTCAGTTTGTGCAGAGCATGCATCAAGTTGATTCAATGCGGAAGCCTGTTGCCAACCGCTCTGCGCGTACGCAGAATGTTGCTTTCAAAGTTGGCCAGCTATTCCAACACAAGCGTTATGGCTATGAGGGTGTCATTACAGGCTGGGATGTTGTCTGCGACGCGAACGAAGACTGGATTCAGAACATGCGTGTGGATTCCCTATCGAAAGGTAGGAATCAGGCTTTCTACCACGTACTGTAAGTTCATCTCTTAGCGCCTTTACTATATTATGCTAATTGAAGTAGTGTCTGCGACAAATCCGTTCGCTACGTTGCTGCTGAGAACATCAAGCCTGTGGATGAGGATACAAACCCCTCCGAGGCGTTGCTGAAACTTGCTGGCCGCCATTTCAAGCGCTGGGACGATGAACAACGTTGTTTCGTGAGCAACGTGCGAGACGAATACCCCGAGGATTAGATGTTGCAGGGCTAAAAGCAAGGTGGGGTTTGAAAGGTATAGATAGATAAAGCTATGACGTTTTGTTGCGGTCTCTAGTTGAGTGTCGCATCAAACGCTGTTATATCCCCACTCATTCCGGGCCTGTTGGTCTCCGACCTAAGATCGAGCGAAAGTTATGAAACATTCCCAAGATGATTGCTATAGAATCACAAAGCAATCATCGCAATCTTACATCCTTACTTTCTTCCCTTGCCTGGCATGAAGCGATCCAAGTTCTCCTCCAGGAAGCCATTTTCGGCTAGCATCTCGAGCCACTTCTTGATGACCGGACCAGAGTCGTATCGCCGCTGTGCAGCCTTCGAATCCTCTTCTGCCTCGTTCTGTATCTCCATCATGATGTTCGCAGCCAGTTGATTGGCTTGCGAAAGCAAATCGCTACGGCGAGCCAGGAGCTGGGTCATGTCTTCGCTGTCGATGGCCGCTTTAACAGTAGTGGAGATAGGGTTGACCGCAAGAAGCTCTTCGGGGCCTAACATACGAGGACTTGGCGGCTGTTCATTGGGGTCAACAAGATCTCTCCAGTCCTGAGACGTAGAAGCTGAGATGTCATCGAGGCGTGTGTCGACATGCGAGAGTGTATTGATCGTCAGACTAGCACTCTTGCGCAGTGAGAGCAACGGGGACTGCGTCAAAGCAACAACGCCGTAGTCGTCGTCACCAGCAGCCATGAGCGTGGAAATAGTGGTGGATACTGACTCGAGCCACGTCTCGCCGCGCTGCGGATCGAAGGAGCCAACGCACGTCGGCTGCCTGTCCAGACCGTCCAACTTCCACACTTCGTTTCCAACCGGTACGAAAGCGATGTAGTGATGCGCGTTATCCTCGACGCTCTCTGCACTATCGTGACTGGCGACGGTGTCGGTCGAAGCAGCGCGTCGCGACTTGGATCCCTTCTTGGTAGGCTTGGTCTTCTCAGTCAACAGCTGTGCCTTGATGCGCTGGGCACGTTTGACTTTGTAGCTGAGATGTTTGTCGCCCTCGAGAATGTCCATCTTCTTGGCAAACGAATTGTGAATCTTCTTCACAAAATCGAAACTCGCAAAAGCCTCACCGCGCTGGTATGGCGACAAGTCTTGCGTGAAATCTTTGAACTGGGTCAAATGCTCGCCGATATGCACATCAGATGCGTTGCTCTGGTTCATCATGATATTGATCATGGCTAGTGTCGCACAACTGTTCTGGGCGGGCAATTGGTTGGCGAACCAGACGTCCTGGGGACACTCGGCTGCCTGACCGTCGTTGCCAAATTCGCGGTAGTGGAAAAGCAGAATGAAACCGTAGACAGGCTGCGGGAAGTTGTCGAGAAGGAAGTCTGTATCCATACTGAATACTTCGCGTACCGTCACGTCGCGGACGCCCATCTCGCGGAGGATGACGGAGAAACAGGCGGGTTCACTTTCGATTTCGCAGAATCCTTGCCAGGTCTCTTTGTCGAATTTGGTTGCAGGCATGTCTGGTGGACTAGGGAAAACCGGATCGGTAGAGGCGCCGTTCTGAGGCGACGGTGGGCCTGGCGAGTCTTTTGCCTTTTTACTGATGGACTCCGACGCTGTAGTGGGTTCAGGAGGACCTCGCTTCTTGGTGTTGGGTGAGGCCGTTTTCGATCCTGTGCTTGGAGATATAGTGTCGTTGACAGACTGAGCTGTAGAGGCGCCATTGCTTTTTACTGCGATTGCAGAGACTGTATCGGCGACTTGGTTTGCCAGGTCTTTGCTGGGTATGGCTTGTTGTTGGGTTTGCTCTTGGATTCCGGCTTTTACATCCGAGCCAGCTCGGACATCGTGGACAGTCTGACCCTTCATACTAGCTGATTTGGGTTGAGAGAGGCTTAGGGTGAGTCGTAGTTTTGAGTTGAAGGAGTTCAAGTGTGTATGTGGACGTTTGGAGGTTGGAGGAAAGGCAAGCAGACAAGCATGGTGGAAGGCGATCTGTGAATGAAGCGCGGTTATCTTTTCTATTGTGGGGTTCGACAAGACAATAGAAAGCGAGCTGATAATGGTATAAAGTGAACGTGAAAGGAAGTAACCGCGTGCTGGTCGGGGTAGTAGAGGTCGGGGCGCTAGCACGTGACGAGCTCGGCGTCATCCAGTTCTGATTGGCCGGATCCATCTCAGCCCGCATCCTTGTCGCGCTCGTCGCGTAGACTCTAGGTAAATGTTTGTTTGAGTTTCACGTCCACCGACAGTCCGCCCAGCGCAACACGCCCGATCGCCCCCCGACCGAACACGCATCTTCGTCGCATCTTCCAATCCATGATCACGATATAGCCGACGCTTAACTTCTGGGTGCGATGAACGGCACACCCCAGGTTCGCCGAGGCGTGGGCGGCTTCCCATCAACACCACAGAACACGAACCGCTCCCCCAGCCTCCAGAGCCCGAATGGCACAACACCGCGACCCAACATCAAATCACCCTTACCAGACCTGCCCAAAGCCCCCGCGCAGTCAAGCTCAGGGCCCCTAATACCCGCCGACATCCTCGATCCCGCCCAACAACGCTTCTATGTTTTCGCCCTATACGTCGCCCTATGGGCATACCGAACATACGACTTCTACACGCTGGCTGTCGAGGAGGACGAATCGTTAGTGCTGTGCCTGAAATGGTGCTTCTTCGACGTACTGTTCATGTTCGGCATACCGCTACTGGAAATTCCTTGGCTGGAATGGGGCAACGGCGCCGCCTTCCTGCTGTTTGTGCTGCATGCGGGCGTCGACGTCATGCTCATGTTCAGGATTGGCATACCGGTACAGGCATGGCTTATGGGGCTGGTGGGCTTCTTGTGGGATAGCGAATTGGCCATCAGCGAGCGGAGCGTCAAGCCTGGTGCTATCCTACATAACGCCTCCCTTATTCTCGGAAAGCAGATTGTCAACATCTTGCCTGAGGGTTCTGCAGTCTTGAACCCAGATAGGCAATCGTTCTGTCTGAACTCGTCCGTCACCCAACTCGAAATCCCGATTATGATCAACCAGACCGAACCCCACGAGATGGAGATCCTGCGCATCGACATCGATACGAACGTCAACGAGACCATCATCGTTAAGAAGGGAGAGCTCAAGTCTATGTTGAAGAAGGCTAGGAAGACGCAGAAGTCATCCGACCCTGACGACCCATTGACTCTGGCCTACACGATCAAGAAGCCAGGTGTATACCTGCTCAAGAAGGTCACGGATCAGTCGAAACTTCTAGTCCGACCGCGATCTACCAACGTCGTCGTGGCCACCTGCCCGCAAGCTCGAGTGAAGCCTACTGGCAACAATCGCTGCCGTAGCGATCTATCCAACGTTGAACTCGAGGTCGAGGGAACACCGCCTCTAAACGTCAAGTACCGCCTCACGGTGAACGGAAAGCCCCGCGGCGGGTCTCAATTCCAGAATCTGCAGCCAGACGACGCCATCTCGCCCTTGTCGAAACACACATCACAAGCACTGGTCAAGAGCGGACGCGAAGACATTTCCTGGGCACGCCCGCACAAGGTTCTCGTACCTCTGAACGAATCTCTCACGACTAGTGGCTCATGGGAGTACGAAATTGAGGAGGTGCAGGATGGACTGGGTAACTTTGTAAGCTACCTGAACGTCGACGATGACGAGCGCCCACGGCCCAAGGTCGCAGGCATTCGTCAACTATTCGAGGTCCACGAGCGCCCTACAGCTTTCCTCAGAGGCTGCAGCCCACAGAACCCGCTTCGGGTGCCCAAGGGTGAAGCCGCTCGTCTGCCCGTCCAGTACCAGTCTACGGGTAAAAACGCTATTGACTCTGCGCATACCGTTGAGTATCTCTTCACACCTCAAGAGAATATCGTTTCGGATGGCTACCATAGTCCAGATGCTGTGCTGCAAAAGCAGGTCATGCGAAAGGGTGAGCAGCCTACTATCAAGGTCGCCGGTCTTTACACCATCAAATCTGTGTCGACCGACTTCTGCGAGGGTGAGGTTTTTGAACCTACTTCGTGCCTACTGCACAACCCGCCCGAGCCGGATCTCACGCTAGACAGCGAGGACATCATAGACAAATGCGCGGGCAACCCCATCGGTCTCCGCGTTGGCCTTGATTTCGTTGGAAGTCCACCTTTCGTGGTCACCTACTCCGAGAAGAAAGACAACGGCCGGGAAGTCAGGCAGCCGCCACTTCAGATTGCCAGCCTCCGCAGTACGATCGACCTCACACCGTCAGATGCGGGTCATTACGAATACACATTCAAAACCATCAGCGACTCGGTTTACAAAGAGAGGCCCCTTAGCAACATCAAACTCCAACAGGACGTCAAGCCATCCGCACAAGCATACTTCATTGAAAGCAGTAGACCTAAGCAAGCTTGTATCGACGATGTGGTTGAGTTTGACGTTGGCTTTGCTGGTGAGGCACCTTGGAAGCTCGAATACGAAATTGTCCACAACGGCAAGCGTACGAAGCGCGCCATCGAGACCGAGACTGCGCACTACGTGATACGAACAGACAAGCTCAGCAGCGGTGGCGAGTACGTCGTAGCTCTGACGAGTGTTACCGACAAATCCAAATGCAAAGAGGTTCTCAAACCCGTAGCTAGAGTCAATGTTCGTCACGAACGACCCAAGGCGTACTTCGGGCACATTGAAGGCAAACAATCAGTCTTGGCTTTGGAAAGTCGACAAGTCGGACTTCCTCTCCGCTTTACTGGCAACGGCCCTTGGTTCCTAGAGTACGAAAACTTGAAGACCAAGGAGATTAAGAAGGACAGCTTCCAAAACCCCAACTCGTGGCTTGACGTCAAGACAGATGGAACATATCAGTTGATCTCCGTTAAGGACTCTGTTTGTCCCGGCTTGATCGATGAAAAGGCCGACCAATTCGACGTATCCTGGGTCGCACGTCCCTCGCTCAGTGTTCCTGAGAGTAGCGCGGTGCTGGAAGGCAGCAAATACATCAAGGACGCCGTCTGCGAGGGTGACGAGGATTCGTTCGATGTGTCTTTAACCGGTAAGTTATCCCGAGTACCCCACGCATTGCCAAGACTAATCACATCGTAGGAAATGCTCCTTTCGACATTTCTTACCGACAAGAATACAAGGACAAGAAGGGAAAGACAGCCTCTGTCAGCGAAAAGGACTTGCACACCGTTGGCGGTCTTGCATCGATTCGATCCGAAACCTCCAAGGCTGGTACTTACGAGTACACTTTCCTGAAACTCGCAGACGCCAGGTACGACCATTCGAAGAAGCACTTCTCGCCTATCACGATTCAGCAACAGGTTCACTCACGTCCTGGTGCTCGCTTTGATAAACCTGGAAAGACATACAGCTACTGTTCACGAGAGTCAGAGGGCGAAGAAGTCATCCCCATCACGCTGGAGGGTGTTGCACCATTCTACCTGGAAGTGGAGATCAAACATCAAGGTACACCTAAGCCGGAAATCAGTGTCCACAAGAACATTGCCACAAACAAGTATGATCTCAAGATTGAGCACCGGAAGATGCACCTCGGTCATTCGTCAATATCCATCCGTAAGGTCCGCGACTCGCGTGGATGTACCCTCAAGCCTCCGCCAGGTGGTCCCCGTGTGCAAATCAGCGTTCATGATGCGCCTACCGCCACACCCCTGGAAGACCGACAGGACTTCTGTGTCGGTGAGCGCCTGTCCTTCGCTCTTAGCGGCCAAAGTCCCTTCACAGTATACTACACCTTCGAGAAGCAAGAGCGCAAGGCCTCCAACCCGGGCACTACTTTCCGCCGTCTCGCCGAGCTTCCAGGATCGTTCACTATCACCGGTCTACGCGACTCTGCTTCTGAGTGCCTTGCAGCGCTCGATCTTACCAAGACCATTCATCCAATCCCCTCTGTACGTCTCTCTGGAGGTCAAGTCCACGAGATTGACATTCACGAGGGTGGCGGTACGGATCTAGAGTTCCAGTTCTGGGGTACACCGCCTTTTGAGTTTACCTACACGCGAAGCACCAATGCAAACAAGGGACGGAAGAGTAAAGTGCTGGAGATCAAGACGGAAATCAGTCATGAGATGAGTATGAGCATTCCAGTCCAGGAGGAGGGTACGTATGAGGTCGTGTCTATCAAGGACCGGTGGTGTAGTTTTGCAAAGCCTGGTGAAGGCCATGATGGCAAAGGCGGACAGAAGATGTTGACCTACTGAGAGTGAAGAGGAAGGGGGTACAGATTTCGTCTTGATGTGCATGGATTGGCGTTTAGCGTTTGCTTTCGGACGTTTCTCAAGGTTTGCATGAGACTTTGTATTTATGGAAGGTCTTTGGCTATGGAAGGGTTTTGGTAGCGTGTGAACCAGCGACGAGCATTGATTATCGAAAACTTGATACATACAACTTGTCCCATGCTTCTCCACACCGCACCTGAGGTAGCTCGATGCTGGCGCCGGCACCATATCGATGATAAGTAGCGCATCGCGATCGCGTACCTGCATCTAGCGCTAAAGTGGACCCTTTCGCATCCTAACACAATACTGATGATATCATGAATAAAGTGACATCACAGCCACGACTAGGCTGATGGGAGCGACAAAAACAAAGAAAAAGTCGTGTGTCTTCTACCATTGCAACTTCATCTACACTGCACTTCACTCCAACTCATTGCGAATAACACAAATTCTACATTACTCTCAACCACACACCAAATCACCAACATGCCTCACTCCAAGACACCCGGCCAGAGCAATGCTGCTTCAGACAAGTTCAACAAGCAGGAGGCTGAGAGTACGCTTCTCATTTCTTCTCTAAATCTTTGCTGGGATGTCACTCTAACAAATATGACAGGCAAGGGTCTCGGTGCATCAAACGCACCCGCAGCGAAGG